AGATCAATAGTTGCCTATTATATACCAGGAGATGTATTAATCTGCTCAAAGACATCACATCTGGTACAGTAACTACAACTGGAGTCACTACTTGATTAAGTTTTCAATGGCTAACTATCACTCTCAACAATCCATCTGTCATCTGGACTGTCCAGACAGGACAGTTAAAGGGAGATCTGGTGGGAACCACCACCCTTAACATCTTTCAAGTCCTTGATGGTGACACTAATTTCTATATTTCCTCCAGGAATATGATACTGTTTTTTATTCACTATTTTCTCTCGAAGAGGCAACTCAAAAGGCTTTCATTTAACCTTTCCAACCACGATGCCTTTATTCCACAGGCCAAGAAACAAATATGAGAATTCTGCCAACTCCCAAGTATATCTATCCCAATTATATATTCTAGGACGGGGGAAATAACTACGGGACCTACTGTGAGTCAGACTTCATTTAAAACTCCATTGAGCAACTGACTTTGATAAGCTAGCACTTTAACTGAAGGGCCATAATGTTTCTAGGGGTCTCCAGGAATCAATGTCAATTCCAAATCAGTATCTAACAGACCCCAGAAAGACTGTTTCCTTTCCCCCAGTGTACAGTTGCCCATGTAGAAGGCCATAGGTCCCTCTGGCAAAGGATGTAAAACTCTTAGGTATTTCATCAAGGCCCTTCAGGAGAACCTGGCTGTCCATTCAGGGATTCTGGGACTGCAAACTGATGCAAGTCTGGAAGTTGGTTCACAGGCCAAGATTCCCTTTTTGTCACAATCCCATGGAGATTTTCTTTTGTTTAAGAATTTTTCCACTTACACAGATCAAGCAATTCAATAGGCTTCTTATCTATTTCATGCCCCAAAATACCATGATTGATGGCTATCCAGTACCAAAGGTCCATGCCATCTAAAATTCACTGTGCCTGTGCCACCCAATATGGGTCAAGCCGTTATGGATATTGCTTTTCTGTGCTTATTACAATAACTGAGATCACCTTGACTTTGACAAGACAAGGTGTCACATGCCCTCCACTACTTCAGGGCCCAATTAAACCTGCTGCATTTAATGTATCCTGCTGAGCAGCAGCATCTCCATCCCTAAGGTCTGGCACAAAAAAAAAAAAAAAAAAAAGGACAACAACAAAGCTTTTCAAATGTACTGGTATCCCTCCTACCATTTTGTATCTTATAGGATTAGTGTAAGGCCTGTCTTCTGGGCCTTCCATTGTAGAGGATTAGGTTTTACACAGAGTACCTACCCACTCTAGCACTGGAATTTTCCTGAGCCTTAAAATACTTTCATGACACTAAGCTAAAGCATATCAAACATCTCAAACTCCTTTTCAGTAGGCCACCTTTTGACAAATGCTTCAGCCAACCATTCATACTTCTGACACCTTTTTAAAACAGTTCAAGCTCCCATTTTAAACCTAGAATCTCGAGCCAGTGATTCTGTATCAATAAACTCAGCCTGATCCAGTTTTATGTTCCTGCCACTACCCCACACCCTTAAAATGCCTTCTCACACACATTCCCAAGACTTTTGCTTAAATTATTAGCACACTCAGTAAGCTCTTTAGTAGCATAGTGTACCACCTTACGGACTACACTTTCTTCCTCCTCTCTAGGAGGCTGTTTTAGCCTTAAGTCTGGTTATGGGTCTAAGGACAACTACTGGTGGGCCTTAAGGGACGTTAGTATTCTCGCCTGGCATCTCCTTCAGAGAAAGTCACTGCTGGTTTAGCAGACAATGGAGGATCAATTTCCTCAGTCAAAGATGGAAAAGGCCGTATTTGGGGGTGGGGGTGGGGTGGAGTGTAAGCACATCATCTGCTGAGAGTGAGATAATCCATGAGAATCTGAGGGCTCAAAGTTCTCAGCTTCAGTAGAGTTTTCCCACACGTCTCCTCCACAAGTTACAAGATCCCATTTTTTACCAATTAATACCCTTACTTTAACTGCTAATACCCTCTGAGACTGGGAATTGATTTTTTTTTTCTGTAATTCAGCCAACCTTATAATGAGAGCTTCAGTTTGATTTTCTGCAATTTGAGCTCTGTGCCTGCTAGAGAGAAGATTCTCTTACACGGTACACTTAGAAACGTTTAGAGTGTTCATGCACATCTGGAATTGGCAATTTATCAGAGTTCACTGTTGTCCTTCACCATGTTCCGAGAAGCTAGAAGTTAATTTTATCACAGAGTTCATTCTTTGTCAGTTTATCCAAAGACACCAGGAGCAAGTAATCAGCAGCAGCATTTTTCTTATTTTCCCACAAACTGTCAGAAGTTTTATATACAAAGTCATGAAATCCATTGCCTCCCACAATTGGTGATTCAGATTAATCAAATGCATTTGTCTTTTTAATTTTGTAAATTAGTTCACACCACAGGCTTTCAGTACTTCCAAGCTTCCAGGAGAGGCTTCACTAACTAAAGGTGTTGGCAAACTGGAAAGTCTATTCCAAATACTTTAAAAAATTGTTTTTGTTTTGTTTTTTTAAAGACAGGATTTCTCTGTGTAGCCTTGACTGTCCTATACTTGCTTTCTAGACTAGGCTGGCCTTGAACTCAGAGATCCTCCTGCCTCTGCCTCCCCGAGTGCTGGCATTTTAAGTGTGTGCCATTGAGCCTGGCTAAAAAACAAAAAACAAAACAAAACAAAACATAGCGAAGAAACTTATTCTTATACTTTTCGTGCTCTAGAGCCTCTCCTGGTACCAGTCTCAGGGTTCTCTATGGGAATATATTAACTGTTAATAAAAACAATTCCACCTTGAAAGTAAATTTGCTACGATTTTGTTTTGTAACTAGAGATTAGGTTCTAGGCTTTCTGCTGTCACTCCTGAGGTAAGTCACAGTTACTGTCCTGAAATGACAACAAAAGAATAAAGCCTTGGCCAGGCATGATGACACAGGTCTGTAATCCCAGCACCCAGAAGGCAGCAGAGGCAAATTCAAGGCCAGCCGTGGCTACATCAAACAATCCCTGCCAGCGGTGCCAGTGCTGGAGGAGACACAGCTCTGACACCTGCAGCAGTTTGAGGAGTTCCCTCCCCTCTTAGTGTAAAGCCATTCTGGTAAAGCGGAATCTTGGGCTTCATTGCAGAGAATTTCAGGACAAGCCAGTATAAAGCAGAATTGTGGTTCATTTAAAGACAGTTTAAGGACAGGGGTTAATAGAGAGGTACAAGAGAAAAGTAAACCACACCCAAAAATGTGAATATGGGATTCTTAAGGGAGAAGCATCCTTCATGTCTTTATAACAGTCATATTTAGGATGTTGTTGATTTCCAAGGCTTGACAGAGTTGTTCAGCAGGAAAGCAGTCACAGGAAGAATCCTCCAGTATGCTGGACAGAATGCTATAATATGCTAGACCACAGGGGTGCAGAAAGTTGGGTATCTTCACTGTGAACATGTTAATAGTTTTCTTAGTGGGATTCCCAGATAAAAGTCAGGAGAACATTAAGTACATACTCAAGGTCACATACACTCAGGCCATAAACTGGTTTATTGCTATCTAATTCTTTTGGAGGGAGGGTGGTGATAAATGGTGCCATTTATGTAGGCTTGGCTGGCCTAGAACTTGCTATGTGGAGGCTGGCCTCCAACTCAGAGATCAGCCTGTCTTGGCCTCTGAGTGCTGGGATTAAAAGTGTGCACCTCCACGCCCAGCTTTTTAACATTCTTTTTTGGAACTATTTCTCTATAAAAGAAATATTGTCTGCTGTCTGTATGTAGGCAACCTTTAGATCAAATGCTAGTGTTAACTGTCCTGGAATTCTTGATTTTCAGGTGGTAAGCGACTACAACCATACTTTAAGAGTGAGGGCTCCGTTCTCTGTGCATCATCTCTGTATCCTCGCTTATCTCCAGTCATACAGAGAAGTGAGGGATCGAGACACGCATCTTAGAACTAGTCTAGCAGGGGCGGGATTAGAGAAACACCCATACACTAAAGCTCGTTCAGTGAAGTGAAATGCAAGTAGAGGGTGCCAAGGAAGATACCTAGGGTCGACCTCTGACCTCCCCATGCACACATGTACTCACTCACCCATGGGACATAAATATAACACACATACAGAGAGAAAGAGAGAGAGAGAGAGAGAGAGATGTAGATAAATGCCACTTCATCTCACAGTGTACTTCCTTGAACACCTCCTGTTCTACAATACTCATGCTCTATAAGAGAAGATTTAGATGAAGAATCCAGAATGTTAGTTCAGGAAGGAAAGTCATGGCTGGAAAACACCAAGTTAATGAGATTCAGACTTCAAAGATGCACAAACAAGACACAGAGGTGAAAGGTCCTTAGTCTGAGCAAGGGTAGCTTATATGAGCAGGGGACCAGGAAAGCAGTCTTGGTGTGAAGACATTTAAATGCCTCCCAAGATCATCAGAGATTGATGGGGAGTCCAGAGGCAGTTAAGAGCTGCTGGTGGCCAAGTCCAGAAAGGTCTGAGAAGACCTGATGGTTTACTCAGTGTTAGCAGACTCTTATCATCATCAGAGAAAGGATTCAGAGATAGAAAAGGAAAGAGAGGAAGGTTTTATTACAGAGCAGCACATACAATAGGGAGTGAAGACTTCTGAAGCCCTGTGCACAGGCTCTTCTCGGCAGCCCTATTTTACATTATTTTTGACTAGGGCCACTTGATAAGGAATATTTTATTTCTTTGTCATTTCAGGCATGATGTCCACAATTAAGTTTTTCTTTTTCAACACAAAGCCCAATTTGATGTTTGTGGATCCCATATCAAGCTGTTATCAGAATCTGGAGGTTATGCTACCAGTCATTTCTTATTTTAAAAAAAAATCAGGAGACAGTAAAAGGAGATGGATTTGTTTACAGTTTTAGACAGAACTGGAGAAGCATGGAGGGTGGGGAGGTGTTCCTTTCTCCCCCCACTTTTCCTATAGAAGGGATACAATCTACTAAAAAGCATATATATATATATATATATATATATATATATATATATATATATATATATATATACACTTGTTTCCTGGCTTCTGTTTATATATATATGTATATGTATAAGTGTGAGCCACCTTTCCTGGCAGGAGGCTGTTCTACTTGTGGGCTTCAGGCTATTTTCACCCTAACACAGAAATCCTGGAAAGGTGGTGATTCTTCAAGGCTCACATTATTCTATGACACTGCATAGTTTGTGAATGTGTTTCCATCTTTTATACTTCTTGCTTTTCTGTAAGTTCCTCCAGTTGGCCTCTTCCTGCTCCCTGATCCCTATGTTACAAGGATCAGAGATGGAGAATGCAGGGATTGGCAGTGGAGGTGAGGCTGGAAAGTGTATCAGGCTGAGATGAAGATGGTTTCAAGGGCTTCACTTAGGGGTATGGTCCCACCCTGGAGCCCTAGGCAGGCCCAGTTGACGATTTATGGGACAGAGGGTACTGCTATGTCAAGGATGGTACTCCTTAAATTGGGGAGGAACCACAACTACCAAAAGCTGCAAAACCATGGACTGTAGCTGTGAGTGAGTGGACTCCTCCTCACTGATCAGGAAATAACATCTCACATCTGCATGTGGTATGACTACCCCAACCATGGCTACCAAAGTGAAAGTATGGTGTGTCCTATATGCTATGTCACCTTTGCCATATGATCAAAATCACCAGTTTGCCAAAATGATGGATAAGTACAAAACATCCTCTTGAAAAAAAAAAAAGAATCAACTTAATCAAATTAGCTGAAAAGAGTTCTTCTCGCTTACAGGTGGTCTGCAGAGCAAGGCTGTTAGGCAGAGCTGTATCACAAACACAGATATAACAGTTCTGAAGATTCAGTCTGCTGGAGATTGCAATCCCCTGGATTCATATTCCTTATCCCTCATTTTAGATTCTCAGAATGTCACACATTATGCATGCTTGAAAAGGCCTCTGTGAGAAGAACCCGTCAGTTCCAGAAAAGAATTTCCTTCCATTTTATCTGCAGCACCAAGTCTGAAATAGTAGGACTGTAAATGAGTAATATACAGCTGCCCTGACATGAGCAAGCAGAACTACCGCTCACTACGTAAACCACTGTAGCTGGACTTTACAGACCCTCCAGCTGTATAAATAAGAACACGAAGACTCTTGCATACTTTAAAAGCTTAGGCCTTTAACTTGGGCTAGCTCCCAGCTCCTCTAACCCCACAAATCTACCTATGTCCTGCCATAACCCGGTCCACCTTTCTGCTCATGTTCACGCCCATCTACCTCCTTATCCTCTCTGAATCCCTATTTTCATCTTTCCCATCATCCCTTTCTCTCTACCAGAAAGCCCCACCTTACACTTCCTGTCCATCTACTGGCCATCAGATTTTTATTAAAGCCAATCAGAGAATGCCTTCAGTAGGTGAAGAACAGAGACACACCTTTACACAGCATGCCCCAACAACTATCTTAAACAGCCCAAGCACGGCACAGATTCATCTCAGGTAAATGATAGGAAGTGTTACACTGGCAATCTGAATGAAAGAATCCAAGTATCCAGCTTTCCAAAAATAATTAGAAAAAACCCAAATATGTTAGCATTGCTTTTCACGTTCCTGAGACTGTATTTTACAGAGATCTGTATAAATAAAAAATTCACTTCAAACATATGTAATATACAATACAAACTAACGAACTGCGTTAGAAGTCCTTAAACATCCAAAACAGTTGAGCAACACAGGTATACATTTCTGTAAGAGTGAAAAATACAGCAAGCAAAATAACTTACGACTGTATCAGGAGAGCTGCTGGTGCACACACCTGGATCTACAGTAACAAGCAAAATGCAAATGAGCACTGAGGTCACTTCATGTAAGACCACGATCCTTCAAAGGACATTACAGACTTGATTTTCATAACCTTTTTGGATTTGGATTTTGAAATAAATACGCAATAAATATCTGCAATAATTGTGTATGTCCATAGCTTATCTTTCTCCGTTGGAAAGTCTTTCTCTGGAGTCATAGTGTCTTAGAGGCATCTCTGGCGTTGGGGAGTTGGGACTTCGCAGAAAGTCCACTAACAAAGCCATTTTAGCATCTATGTGCTCCTGGAGCTGATAGATCCTCTCATCGATGTGGTCCATAAGCTTCTTTTCCATCAGTTCCATGTTTTTAGAAAGAATTTTTTCCAAGTAGGAGCAAATAGGCTGCTCTTCCATCCTAAAAATAAAATTTAAAGTATGTCAATTTTCTCTTACGTGATGACAAAAACAACTGAGCCAGCCAAATGGCAGACCAGATACACCATTGACGTTGCTCTCTACAACCTACAACAGTGGCCACAGTCCTGAATGCACAACTCTCCTATTAACTGTTTACTTAGACACTTGACAAAAATATAAAGCAAAGACAATCCCTCAGAAACAAGCTGAGGGTGTGGCTCCGTAGCTAGTTTTGCTAGCATGCAAGAAGCCTTCAGTTTGGTCCCTAACACTGCATAAGACCAGGTATAGTCAGGGAAGACAGCTCAGTCACTGAAAGATCTGCCTTGCAAGCATCAAGACTCAAGTTAGATTCTCAAAATCCACATTAAAAATTAAAAGCTAGGGTTAGGGAGATGGCTTAGTTGGGAAGCCACTGCCATATAAATATGGAAACTTAAGTTCCATATTCCCAGTACTCCATAAAAAACCTAGTGCCATGGCTTGGACCTATAATCCCTGTGCTGGGGAGGCAGAGAGACGATGCCTGGCAGTGGCTGGTCAGTATAAACGTGTATGACGGTGTGCCCCTGTACTGTCAATTGATCATTGCTGTGCTCGCAACACCAGGCTACCAGGATATGTAAATGTTTGTCACTTCTTCACCTGTCCGAAAAGAGGACTCTCTGAGACTGTCATGTTAAAAAGCAAGCTGCCCATAATGAAGGCCACATAGCCCTCAATGCCAAAAAGCAACAGAGAGAAACGAACCTGGCATTTTCCTGCTGCTGATTTTGGTTCGGATTAGATGAGTAAGGAATGTGGTTTTTGCAGAAGAAAGAGCTGGCTGGGACAGGTTGACCAAGAAGATGGATAAAGACAGGTGACAGAAAACAGATGGATGGCGACTGACAGGGAGGTAAAACACAGAACCATTTGGTGGGGACGCAGTGGCAGGGAAACCAGGTTAGGTTAAAGGGCTAGCTGAGAGACTGTTCCAGCAAAACAGCCAACAGCCTTACACTATACAGATGTCTCCATGTCTTTATTGTTAAACCCCAAGTGAAACCACAGAAAGCCCCCCGCAATAAAAAAACCAAGGTAGACATGACTGAAGGAAACACCCAAAGTTAACCTCTCCCCTCCACCCACATGTACACACACAAGTGCATGCACACCCTCATACACGAACACACACTACCTAAATTCACATAGACATTCAGGTGTGGTCGTGTAAACTTAAAATCCATTGGGTAGGTAAGGACAAAAGACAAGAGGCTCCCAAGGGCTTACTAGCCACCCAGCCTAGTTTGATCAAAGGGCTCCGGGACAGAGAGATAGCCTTTCTCAAAAGACAAGGTAAATGCCTTCCGAGAAACAACACCTGAGGCTGTCCTCCAGCTTCCACATGCTGAACATGCTTCACCTGCAAGCACACACAACACTAAGTGTGGCAGACACCTCTCAATCCAGCACTTGGGAAAGGGCCAAGAAGATCAAAAGTTCTTGGTCAATAGCATAGTGAATGAAGGCTTTGCTGGGTGTGGCAGTCTGAGTGAGAATGGCCTCCAGAGGATCAGATATTTGAATGTTTGGTTCCCAGTTGGTGGACCTGTTTGGGAAGAATTAGAAGGTGTGGCCTTGTTGGGGGTGGTGAGCCACTAGGGGTGGACTTCAAGGTTTCTAAATTCCACGCTATTCCCAGCTAGCTCTCTATGCCTAGCACTTGTGCCTCAGCTGTAAGCTCTCAGCTACTGCTTCACTGATATGCCAGCCTGCCTACGGCCATGCTCCCCATCATGATGGTCATGGCTACAACCCTTTGGAACCATGAGCTCCCAAATTAAATGTTTTCTAAGTTGACTGGACCATTATGTTTTATAATGGCAATAAAAAGTAACTAAGACAGTGGGCCATCCTAAAAAATAACAAGAAAATCCATCCTAACAAATAACAAGCCTTTAGAAAAAGGCTGTTATATTCAGTGAACACCAGAACAGTAGATCTCATAGTGGGTCCTCCAGGGACTCAATGAGGTCCAAAGTATTTTTATACTAAGAAAATGGTGGTATCTGACTCTTTATCCTTAAGCTTTTGTGAACACACAGTGGCATTTTCCAAATGTACTTGAAGTGTAATGCCACTGTTCTAGTGGCATTGGTAGCAGAGAATTCTTCTCATCCCTAGAATGCCCTAAGGCAGCAGATTTAGTGTATAAATATGTACATTTCAGACATTAACTGGCTTTACTCTTGGTGTTTTTAATAATTATATGCTGTAAGAAGACTGTAGCCAAAAGCTAAGATAGATTTGCACATATTAAAACATAATTTTCCCTGAAGTTTTAAAATTTATCTTTCATATTTATGTTAATGATGGTTTTATTATTTCCTAACTATAAAAAAAACATCAAAACCAGCATGCTCATATTTATACAAAATGTGCTATTTTATCACGTACACAATATTCATCCCCAAAACACTAGCCAAAATGCAGAGCTTCAAGATACCTGTCCTGTCATTCCTTTGTCACCTTCCCTTTCCTATTATCTACCATATGCTATATAGTCACATGAGTCTCCATTGTCCCTCATCATAATTCACCTGGAAACCACTTAGGTTGATATATAGAAAATCACTGATTACCACTCCACAGTATGGAGACACCAGTTATTGAATCATGTTACACAATATTTTGGTGTTTCCATTTTAGAACTATTACAAAAAAGCTTCAATAAACAACTGTGTACTGAATTTTATATGGTCATAAAATTTCATTTCTCTAGGATAAATGCTTAGAAATCTGTTTGCCAGGTCATATGATAATATGCATCTAGTAGTTAAATTGCTATTTACTATTTTTCAGTGACTGTATCGTTCTATCATCGCAGCATCAAGCTGTGAGATTCTTCAGTTTTAGTCGTTCCAGGAAACAGTGTTATTCTGTGGCTTTCATCTGCCTTTCCCTGGCAACAGTGAGGCCATGGCTAGCCGTTCTCTGTGCTCATCTGCCTCCTATGTAGTCTCCCTAGTGAAAAGAGTCCTTGTCTTCTGTGTTTTATTTGGTATTGTTTTACATGCTGAGCTGTGTGATTTCTTTGTATTTTAAGAAGTCATTTATTGGATTCATGATTTATAAGTATTTTCTTCCTGTTTATATTTAAATCATCTCAACAGGTTCTTCCACAGGCATAAGTGTGACATTTTGCTGGGGTCTACGGATTTTTTGTTTTGTTTTGTTCATAGTGTTTTTTATGGTGTAGATAAGCATGTTTTTCCTAAGTCCCTACGAGTTTATCCCATATATTAGAAAGTTTTAGCTTACTTTTGGGAGTATGGCCACATGTGTTCATTTCATAGAAAGCGTGAGGTTTAGGTTATGGTTTATTTTGCCTATGAATAACACACTGGCCTAGCAGCACCTTCAAGATTGCTCTTCCTCAACTGTACTGCAATGCTGCTATGTGTCCTCTGTCCATGCACTTGTGAGTCACAGTCCCTGCTACTGCCAGGCCTGATGCTACTGTGCTACCATGTCCTGAAATGGAGAAAACATTTCTCTTGCTTTATTCTTTTTAAACTTTTTTGTCTAGCTATTTTTCTACTTTATAGAGCTTTCTAATTCCAAGAGTTAGAATCATCTCCTCCATACTTAGAAAAAAAAATATTGATAGCCCTCAATAAAACTCCACCAAGCACACATACCAATTAGGTGAAGACTGTTGCTCTTATGTGCTCAAGAAATCTATCAACACGGCATATTTCACCATTATTTTAGGCCGTTTCAAAATTTCTCTATAAATATTTTATCATTTTCAGTTCACAGATCCGTATTGTGTCAGATATGTATAATTTATGGCTATTTTAAATATGTATTTACATATACTATTTCAAGTTATTTACTCTAGTTGGGGTGCCAGGGTAACAGTGTCTTCATAAAATGAGAAGTCTTGTTCCCCTTTGATTTTCTGCATTATGTAAAAAGGGTGTTCTCTAAATGTTTGGCAGAATTCTCCAGTGCAACTATCTGAGCCAGGATTTTTTTTTCCCCATGAATATTCTATGTTAGTTGGCTTTCCATCACTGTGATAATATCTGAGACTTAACTTTTGGTTTACTTCACTCCTGGTTTCAGAGTTTTCAGTCCACAGTCTGCTTTCTCCATTGCTGTGGACCTGGGGTAAGGCAGACAGACATATGGGAAATGAGTGTATGCCAGAGCAAAGTGGCTCACTTCATGGCAGCCAGGTAACAAAGAAGAAACAGGGAGGGGCCTAAGATAAGCCATCCTCCAAAGTCATTCCTCTCTGACCTATTTCTTCCAACTAAGCTCCATTCTTATCACCTCTAAACAATGCTATTAAACTACAACTCCATCAGCCTGGAGTGCCCTCGTGATCCAACTACCACTCGATGTCTGGATCCACTAACCAGTGGTTCTAAACCTGGGGGTCTTGAACCCTTTGGGGGCTCATATCAGATCCCTGCACATCAGATATTTACATTATGATTCATAACAGTAGCAAAATTGCAGTTATGAAGTAGCAACAAAATAATTTTATGAGTCACCACAACATGAGGAACTGTATTAACATGAGGTCACAGCATTAGGAAGGCTGAGGACCATGGCACTAATGAGAAATCAAGCCTTCAACACAAGGGAAACCACATTCAAACTGTTAACCCTCTCATTACAAATTCAGCATTTTTAGTGGCCATAGGGTCACTCCATTATCTACTTAGTGTTGTGTTTTAGTGGTTTTTGAAAAGTTAATCCATTTCCTCTGAGTTATTAAATTTATGAGCATGAAGTTATTTCCACAACCCCTTACTACCTTTGAAATATACAAGGCTCTGAGTGACATTCCTCACTGCATCTCATACTGGTGATCTGTATCTTTATTTTCTAATTTTGATAGACGCTTATCAACTTTAAGTTTTAAAATTTTTTATTTTTGTATATGTATGAGTATTTTGCTTGCATGTATACATATGTACCATGTGCATGCCTGGTGCCCACAGAGGTCAGGAGAGGACACTGGAACTACTGGGACTAGAGTTACAGGTGGTTATAAGTTATGTGGGTGCTGGAAGTTAAACCAACAAATGTTCTTAATTGCTGAGCCATCACCCCAACCCCTATTTCATTTTTGGGGGTAATTTTCTACCACTGTCCTCAGAGCCATCTTCATTAAAACAGCACATGATCAGACACTTTAATCACTTCTTTAGCTACAGCCCACAAACTTTCATCTCTGTATTTTTTAAAACTCAGTGCTGTGTCTTTTATTTTTTTATTATTATTATTTTATTTATATTGGTGTTCTGCCTCCATGTATGTCTGTGTGAATGTGTCAGATC